GTATCTCAATCTTATGGTATCTAGCCTCAATGACTTTGAGCACCTGCTTACAAAATAGATAGGTTTCATAGTTTTGTCCTTCTCATCGATGAGAATGAAGCTCATTGTCTATTTGCTGACTGATAGATACAAATAGAGAGGCACGCCAACTGCTAAGCGCGTCAATATGAGTGGCATCACCAAAAAGACATTTAGCTTAGTGAATTCATCATCCCATTCATTTAACCACTCAAAGTTATTGTGATACGGTGGCAGAACCGACTGTTATGCTGGTTTGCATTTTTTGTTCGCAAATGTCGCAGTAAGCAAGAGTCGCCACTGACTTTTCTTTTATCCAACAAAGGAAAGGGTGAAAAGAACAGAAAAAGACTTTTTTTAGAGATTTTCTGAGTAATGGGGTAGATTATGGAAAGGGAAGGTGTTAGCACCCTTTCCATCAGTGGTTTTCCACGGGCTCTTAGGTACTTGCTCATTTTCGAAAACTGTTTTCGTGTTTGTGTGTTTTGAAAGATTTTGTTTGCTTTATGATAACTCTTGTATCAGTCCTCAAGAGTGTGATAAGGCGTTTTTGAAAAGAAGTTTGAAAAGTGTGTAAGTGTGAAAAGAAGATTTGAGCAAGTACTTAAGAATTATCTACCTACTCGAAAAAGGATGTTATTTTCCTCCTTTCCTTTAGATAGTGCTATCATACTATTAGTGAGTAGGTAGCCCTATCGTCGAATGTTGAGGGACTATCAAAAGGGACGCTTTATGGTCATTGAAAGCAATATGTAAGGATACCTTATCATTTCGAAGAGACTGCCATCATATAGGCAACACCGAGGGATAAGATCATTTCTCGTAGGCAACTCGAGGGACGTTAGGGACCATGATCTTTATGATGACTTTAGAATTGAGGGTATTTTCTAAGATATACCTACATTCGAGGGACATGACAATTATTTTTCCAAAGACAACAAGTGAGGTTATCCTAGAGGTGCGAGTGCGCAAATGATTCAGTTCAGTTATTTATCTTGCAATTAGGATTTTCTATCATTCATTTTTATCTTTCCATACAATCATATTAATCTAAGCATTGCATAAAATATAATAGCAGAAGGTAAAGGCAGAAACGTAAACCTAAGTTATTACAAAGCTTTGGGGCAGTTACATAATAGTGAAGAGTGCGGAAAAGAAATCCTAAAACTATTACATCCCGGAAGCAATTATATGATAATGATAAAAAAAAGCGGGAAAAATAAAGCTACGGTATTACAGTTGAACGCGTCGTATACACTTTATCTAGGAAAATAAAAATAAGATGAAAATAACAAAGAAAATGTTTTGGTGATTTTTTATGAAAAAAATAATTTATGATAATTAATTAAATAAACCTAAAAAACCTAATTATTTTTAATTAATAAAAAATGTTAATTTTGAAAAAAGTTAATTAAAATACCTAAATCCTAATTAGTTTTAATTAATAATAAAAAAAGGTTAATTTTGAAAAAAAAAGTTAATTAAAAAAAATCTAAAACCTAATTAATTTTAATTTAAAAAAAGGTTAATTTTGAAAAAAAGGTTAATTAAAAAAACCTAAAACCTAATTAATTTTAATTAATAAAAAATAGTTTTAAAAAAAGTTTATGTTTAATGGTTAACAAAAAAGGATTAAGTTTGGCAAAAAATAGATAGAGAAAAAAACATCAATGGAAAATAAGGTTAAAAAATACAAATAATGCAAATGTCAGGGGTGAATGTTGAATCAAAAATTAATTTAAAACCTAAAATTAAATTTAAAAAACCTAAAATTAATTATTCGAGTTTATTATGAAAAATCAAAGGTTTGTGAAAAATGTTAGGTTTTATGAAAAATGTTTTAAACATAAAGAATGAAAATAAGTAAAAGGATAAATAGAAAGAAAAGCGAAACCAATAGGGGTGGGTGTTGAACCCGCGCCCTTAACCTCCTCAAGATGTCTGTGTTGCCATACATTGGTTGTTGTTATGATCCGGCCTCAGTGTTTTGTAATAACCCTGCATGGGACCATGTATAAATCTGTAGCGTTGAATCTCATGAACACATTAAATAAATTACTATACCGTGAAATACAAAGAAACCAAATATATGAAATTTTGTAATGTTAAAACCGATATGGCATGTATGAATGCTTCTACACTCTTTTGATCATGGAGATCAAACCAGTCTTACCCTTACTAGAGAAGTAGTGATATGACTTGTTTGTAGTGAGATGGAGGTTTGTAACAAAGATTTCAAGATTTTTAGGGTTCTTGAGAGAATTTGATATTTTGACAAGATTGTGATAAAGGTCTTTTTCCGTGTCTTTGTGTGAAAAGAATGAGATTATATAATGGAAATTAGAGCAAAGATATGGGCTTTGAATGTGCAATTGGGCATCCAATAACCACAAGCAATAGTGCAGATATTTATTCACTTGAGTCTGACACGTTCCAGGCTAAATCGCAGGGACTTAAGTTCAACTTTTGAAGTTGAAATGTGAAAACAAAATATAGCCAACATCGAGAACTAACTCTTGTCCAAAAATAGGCTCAATGGGATAAACGGTGAATTAGTTATGAATTTTTGAAGTTTTGGCTTAGACAGACTTATTTTGGACTCCAGTGTCAATTCTGACACATTCTTCAATAAAAAACTGGTATTGATCGGAGCAGAACTCGGTCTCGACTTTGGAAGAAAAGTTGTAGATCTCTGAGTCAGTGATCGTGTGTAAAAATATGTGCCCGATCCAATAAAAATTGATCGAGTTATGAATTTTTGAAGTTTCAACCCAGATGAAATAATATTCAGCATTCGGGACTTTCGGTGCATCACGCGCACTTTGGGAAAAAAACGAAGGCTTTTTGGATACCGTTCGAACTCGATACCTCATGTGAAAACGTAGCCAACTCAATTTGTGAAATTTTGGCGCCGGAACCAGCTCGATATGATGAAAATCGCCCAAGTTATGATTTTCTGAACATGACACAAATAAACTTATGGCACAAATTTTCTATACAAAAATACTTGATAAATCTGTATTTTTGAAGACCTTCTGATTGAAATTAGCTTCCAGCCGTGAGATATGAAAACGTAGATGACGTCAATTCGAAATTTTGGCCACTAGAACGGGTTCAAAACGAGCCACGATATTCAAGTTATGAATTTTTTAGTGTGTAAAAACTACACTTTCAACACACTTTTTCACCATATTTCTTCGAGAAAAATCGCACATTCGGAGACCTTCTTTAAAGAATTGGCTCTCGAGCCGAACCTGAATTTGAGAATATGTTAACAGGGATATCTTGGAGAAAGAACACCTGAATATGACGCACTGGGTTGGACTTGTGAGTCTTTGAACCCCGAATCATTGCGAAACGACGAACCAATCTTCAACGCGGAAATTACTCTGAGAACATCCATTGGCGAAATAAAAGTCACTTGTAACCTGACGAAGCTTGCTAGATATACCTTGATTACATAACCATAAAACCAATGATATTCATGTATGTAATAATGAAATGTAAGCCAAAAAGGTCGAAATAAAGAGGGTAAATTTTGGGGTACAACAGTTATCCTTCTTTTTTAAAGTGGAAAATAAATGGAATTCCTTGTCACCTGAACAAGAGATAAAATGTGTTAGGACATCTAAGTTCCTTGTTAGTTATTGTACCTCATTGATTCTGGAAAGGTTTCTCATGTTAATGATAACTTGACATTTGTATGAGTTTTCCTTGATCCATCTTATGGTTAGTATAAATCCCAAGGATTTATCCATATGAATACTGAAGGAGCACTTGGTGGGGTTTACGTGCATACTATACATCGAGACTGGTTCTAGGATGTCAAAGTATGCATAATGTATCTCCACGTCTAAAGTCTTTATAATAATATCATCGATGTAACCGTCCATGACTGGCCCAATTTTCTTTGATAATATTGCATCCTAATCTCTGGTAGGTGGCACCCACACTCTTTAGTCTGAAAGGCATAATATTATAGTAGTAATTTTCACAGTTGGACATGAATGTAATTATTGGAACTTCCATAAATCTATCTTTATCTGATTGTAGCCATTATAAGCGTCCATGCAACTCAAGGTTTTATAGCCAGAGGACCCGTCAGTCAACCTATCAATATTGGGTAACGTGTATGGATCCTTAGGAAAAACAATGTTTAGGTATGTGAAATCGATGCACATTTCCATTTGTTCGATGACTTCAAACAAAGACAATATTATCCAACAAGGTTGGACATTTGATCTTAGTTATAAATCCTTCACTTTTCAACTCACCACCCATTTCTCTTCGCCTACTTTGTACTTTTTTTAAGACACGAGTTTCATATTGGATTCAATAGCAAGGCAGTGACACCACTCTAACGTATATCTCTAGCATGTTGACAGGCATCTAGGAGAACAAGCCGACATTCCTCCTTAGCAGTGAGAACAACTCTTTTTCTCCTACTTTAAAAAATGAGGTTCCCTGTTTGGTGACTTGGATTTCTTGTAGTCCAATTCGGACCTCCTTCATATCTTTTACAAGAGTTAGCCTTTCCTTCTCAAGCATGACATTGTAGTAGTAATTGTCATGGTTGGACATGAATTCCATTTTGGGTGCATCCATATGACCCACCCTTATCTGATTATAGCCATATTAAGCATGCATGAAACTCAAGGTTTTATAGCCTAAGGACCCGTCAATCAACCTATCAATATTAGGTAACGGGTATGGATCCTTAGGGAAAGAAGATTTTAGGCCTTGAAATTAAGGCACATTACTCATTTCTTCAATGAATTTCAAACAAAGATAACATTAGCCAACAAAGTTATATATTTTACCTTAGTTATAAAGTCTATTCTTTTCAACTTCCCAACCTCCTCGACAATCAACATCTATTTCTCCTTTCCTACTTTTATTTTTATTTTTATGAGATACGAGTTTCATAAGGGATAGGCGAATAAGTTGATATTCCTCCTTAGTAGGGAGACCAACTCATCTTCTCATGCTTCAAATAATGAGGTGACAAGATTTGTGACTTGGAAGACTTGTGGCCCAATCGGGACCTCCATCAAATCTTTTATGGGCGTTATTCTTTCCTTCTCGTGCTTTATCCAAGGATTCAGGTTTGCAACATTCATTCCTTGCATGTATGGTTGTGGAATGACAAATGCAACCACCTCACTCTTCTCATTTTGAGGCTTCTCTGATAACATTCTTGGGCAATCTTCTAATCCATTTGGACTATTCGGACCCTCCCAGTAGGTAGTATATATTTTATGCTTAAATTCAGGGTTGATAGGGCGCCCTAACAGGTTGAGGGTGGGTCGCCCCATGATGATGTTGTATGGTGATAAGGCGTCTACTATGAGATATCTTACCTTGACTATCGTCATGTTCTCGTTTAGTCGAAAGACGCTTTTGAGAGTTATATGGCCCTTTACATGTACGTTCTCGCTAAAAACTCGACTAGGGAACCGTGAAATGTCTAAATGTCATCTAGATCAAGTCGGATTCTCTCAAATATGTCCCATAACAATACGTCTTCTAAGCTTCTAAGGTCAACCAATACTCGTTTTACATCCCATTTGTCGTACTGCATATTGATGACCATGCAGTCATTTTTATAAGGAAGAATATTGCAACATCTTTAATGGAAAAAATGATTTTTCTCGGGCTCCTTTTCCAATCCTGCTTCAAGGCTAGCAGTTATGATGTTTATCGTCAGAACCTATCGAGCATACTTTTGATAGAGCTGGATTCTCCACCTCAAGAAAATCCTTATATTATGGCATTAACAGACACATATGCATTGGCTGGTGTTGTGGCACCTCGCTATGCCACCATGCTGGAGAAGGTAATTGAGGTGGTTGATGAATGAAAAATGGATGTGACCCGAGTCAATTTTACCATACTCCATGGTGAGCACCAATTATACTTGATAAAAAGTACAATGAATAATATCCTTGTCATTATAGGTTTGCATCAAGATTTTAGGGTATTTGACTGTGTTTTATATACGGTTTTCTCAAATGAGATTGGATCCACTTTTTTCTTATGGAAATGTAGTAATATAGAAGATTCTCTAGGTTTGGGCTAGAGATCCAAAAAGCAGTTTGTACTAGCTATGCGGTTGAGAAATATGGTTAAAGGAGTCTTGTTCTCCAAAGAACCATGGAGGATCAATTTTCCTTCATTGAATCTCTCCATTCTGTTACCGCATGTACCTGTCACCCATCATATTTAGGGTGAGTTTGTTTCAATGATTGCAAATATATTTTTGAGAATGTGATATTAGAAATGCAACAATCACATATTTGTTTTAAGTTTTTAAAAATAATTTTCAGATATTTTTTATTTTCAAAAATATTGTTACACTTAATTTTTCTTATATTTGTTTTCATGTTTGAGACTGGAAATTCAACATTCCCGTAAAAATAAACATCAACTATCTACAGCTTCCCACTAGTACTTTCATTTATTTATTCATATTTATATTTTTTTATAATTTTTAAATTAATTAAAATTTATACATTTTTGGAAATATAATTTTTTTGTTTTAATACATTTTTGGAAATATAATTTTTTTGTCATATATATATATATATATATATATATATATATATATATATATATATATATATATATATATATATATATATATATATATATATATATATATATATATATATATATATATATATATATATATATATATATATATATATATATATATATAAAATAAAATTATAGAAAATGGATGATGTATTGACGGTGTAAATTAATTTTACACTGTCAATCAATGACGATCATGTATCTCACCACATCACACTTATATTTTAAAATTCTTTTAATGATACGGCATATTGTTGGTTTTTTATTTAATGACAATGTAAAACTATTTTACACTATAATTATATGTGCATTAAACCCTAAAATTAATTACCACGACAAGCGCGACTCATAAAAATAAATGGAAACAAAAATAATCTTAGGTCTGGTTGAACAAATATACGTAAAATTAAAATTTAGATAAACTAATAATATACTATTTTGATCAAGATGAGATAAAAATGTATTTTAAATATTATTTACTTATTAATTATGGATTAAAAATAATAAATTATTAACAATTATTTATATAAATTATAGTTTATTGTTTTTAAGCAATTAATATTATTTATTATTTATTTATTTAATAAATAATTTATTGAATAAAAAAGGAAAAACAAAGATGATGAGGGACGTAAAGCAATACCCATAAAAAATTAATAAAAATGATAGTTGGACATGTCCAATCTTTCTCTCTAAAAACTTTCAAAAACACAAATAGAAAGTGAATCACACCAAATATCATGAACAAAAAAAATCTACATTCACTAATCTATTAGTACGTGCATTTTCGTCTCTACAAATGTGAGATATCTTGAATATAAAGAACTGTATTATATGTAAAGTATTATTCAATTTTATTAAAAGATGTCAAGGGACAATATTCAAATTAGAAAATGCACGAATGGTCATCATCGAGTCAGTTTCAAGTCAAAGATTTCTCCAATTCTTCTTTTTAGCATATCCAATTGCACACATGACTCCATGCCACTCAACTTGAAAAGAAACTGCAAAAATGGGCATGCGTCTGGAAGACAGTTCAGTTAGCCAAAGCCCATGTCTATTTTTTTCTTTTCAATTTGTGTATATTGGGCTTCATTGTTTTAATTTGTGGATTTTTTTGTTTATGGGTTATTTTTTGGGCTTATTATTGATTCGTTGAATTTTAGTAGTTATAATTTATGCATGCTTTCTAGAACTACTTTCATAACTTTAGAGCTAAAGACAGAGAGAAGGGTTTGGGAATTCTTTCGGTAATCTTAGAGAGATGAGGTAAATTCATAAGAGTGTGTTCTTGTAATTTGGGAAACACTTGGAGGTATCTAAGAGGGATGGAGAAACACTTATAAACACCTTGGTTTGTGTGATTCTTATATTGAGAGTTAGAGATATTGAGAAACACTTGGGTAGAAAATAGAGTTTGTTCTTGGGAACTCAAAAGACTATTTTCTTGTAACTCATATTATAATCTCGTGTAACAACTTTTGAAGTATAATAAATTAGGAAGTTGCTCTCTTCCCCAGACGTAGATCAATTTGATCGAATTGGGTAACCAAATTTCCTCTGTTCTCACCTCTTTTTTTTTTTTGCTTGAGACCATTTTTATGATTACCATTTTTCCGTCCCACACATCAATGTTTTGGGGTGATTGTACTTTGAATAATTCTTTTGAAGTGATTTTAATTTTTCTATCAATTTCACAACAAGTGGTGTCAACCATGGGGCAAAGGGGTATTTTTTTATAAATAAGCACGATGGGTAGATAGGAGATCCATAAATTTTTCTAAAAAAAACGATTTTGTGTTGTGGAAAGTGAAGATGCAAGTAATATTAATTCAACAAATGTGTTTAGAGGAAATCTAAAGCAGGCGGATTCAAAGATGGTTTAAGTCATGCTTGTGGGCTTGTTAGATTACCTAAGAATAAAAAGGTTGTGCTAGAAAGCCTGTAAGAGATACATAATTATAATTACTGAAATCCAATAAATCCATAACAAACCCAAAACATAAATCATAAACAAACAAATTAACAAATTAAAATAACAAAACCCAATACAAGTGAACCTAAAAAAATTGGACCCAGACTCTAAAAAATGAAATCGTCATCCAGACCTGGACCCACTGTCATGTTGCCACCATCGGCTCCGCCACTTAGCTGATTTTTGGTTATTGCAATCTAAAAATATGTTTCCTTTATCTTCATCACTTAAGGTTTTAAGACATACTTCAACAATCTCGACTTTGACTTGAAACTATGGTGATGCCAATTTATCCATCAACCAACCACCTTGCCGCTCTCTACTATATTGAAACACTATTCAACAATATTGATCAAACTCAAGCATTTCTTGAACCTTGATCTTTCCACTTGTATCCACTTGCTTCTATTCAACTTTTTTTATTCTTAGATGATTTAACACGCCTGTGGTTCTTTAACCATATTTGACTCCACCTGCTTTCGAATGCCTCTTCACACCTTTGCTTAATTAATATTGCTTGTATCTTCATTTTTCACAACACAAATGGGATAAACATTCAGGATCCAAGAGACATTGACACCACATATCCATCCAAAATCTTATGGCAATAGGGGTATGAGTACTTTCTCTTATATACCTAACATTTTCTTCATTTTTATCCGATGTGAGACTTAATCACTCTCACTTGAACTCCAATAATCTCCCTCACAAGTGTGAGTCACCCAACATCACTAGCCTTGTTCCATACTAGGATCCACCCCCGCTCTCATACTAATCCTAACCATGACTCTGATACCACTTATTGAGGAGTCTTGGGAGTACCGAAAGTGCCAATAGACTAAACGTTCAATATCCGAGATACCGTGACACCTTATATCCACCTAAAACCTTCAGAACTTTAGAGTTAAAGGTAGAGAGAAGGGTTTTGGTAATCTTGGTGGTAATCATAGAGAAACAAGGGTAAATTACTAAAAATATGTTCTTGGAATTTGGGAAACCCTCAGAAATATCTAAGAGGGATTGTGCAACACTTCTAAACACCTTGGATTTTTTTTGATTCTAATATTAAGAGTTTGAGAGATAGGAAAACTTTTGGATAGAAAATAGGTTTGTTCTTAAGAAATCAGAAGACTATTTTATTTTAACTCATATTTTAATTTCTTGTAACAACTTTTAAATTATAGTAAATTGGATAATTGCTCTCTCCCTAGGCGTGGGTCGATTTGATCAAAAAAGGTAGAAAATTTATCGTGTTCTTGCATGTTGTACATCTCAAAATTTTACCTCATCCGAGATAGGTCTCTCATTGTTGGACGAGACAGTAAAATCATAAATACCAAAGGGATTTTATCTAACAAAGAGCTGAGTTATTACATGTGTTCCATGACCGGGTATTAATTCTAAAATAGAACACCAAACTAGGTCCTTGAAAGAGGTCGGGCTACAGGTTCCTGGAGTTGCGCGTGTATCTCGATCATGGATAGATGCTGGATAGTCGAGTTGGAAGCCCAACATAACATTCAAAGGGAAGTCCCATGGTCGCATGAAGGTTACGAAGCTGATGATATAAGCATTTTTGAAGCATAATTAGTGATAATTATGGTGACGACAAGTGTTATATAAAGAATTTAAGCATGAGAGGCGAATGGGCAGCTCATTATGGCCAAAAGGGTTGGAACGTAGGCTATATAATGGCTCCCAAAGGAAGATGGGAGGGCATCTGAAAAACAGAGCAAACATACATTAAAAAAATCAAGTTATTAATGTTTTCCTATACATTTGTGACCTCACCTGGCCAGCTTCAAG